CTTGGGTGATTTATTGGTCCAAATGAACTAGGGTTAATTGAGAATGAATGAGTTCGCGTCCTACGATGGACACACCTACTTTAAAAATTAGTAATTTCTATATAATTGAAGTACGCGTAGGCTGATCTGTATGCTCACAAATATCGTGTATATATATATATATATTTTATATTAGTTATTCTAACTTATGTTTGTTCATTAATTTAAATATTTTTTACCAGTTTTTTATTTTGTTAAGTGTTTCATTTTTGTTTCTGATAATCAAAATAAATACCCTATATATAAACAAATAAATTATAAATGTTTTGATAATCAAAATCTCATTTTATTTTTCTTTTTAATACCATAGTTACATTCATTACAAAACTCACAATTAGCCTCTTATTTCTCTCTCAATGTTTTACATCAATCTCTAACTTTTTTTTCTCCCCATAATATCTCTTTTGCTTTTTTCTCCTTCAATCTAATATCTTTCTCTCAAATTCATATATCTCTCATATTTTTTCTATCCCTATCGAGAATGCAACTAAAGTCCAACATTAAGTGGGAAGGAAAGATCCATGGATATATAAGTAAGATGCAACATCTTCTTCGTCAGAAGGAAAAAAAAAAGAGGCAACGTATTCTTTAGTGTGAGACCTTTTGGGTGATTCTAAAAACAAAGCCACGAAGACTTATATTCAAAGTGGACAATATCATACCATGATGTAAATGTGGAAGGTCCCTTGTCTTGATTCTTCCTCTCAACATCTGATATCTGAGTAAATGCCTCTAACTTAGCCATATCGATAGAATCCTCAGGTGTCGAACTAAGAGTAAGGGATCAGACAACATCACATCTCCAAGTATTTGGATGATTCTAAAAACAAAGCCACGAAGAGTTTAGGTCCAAAATGGTGTCCCTCTTTTAGTACTAGAATAACATGTTCACAAATTTTGTAGAATATTTTTCGTAGTTTTGGGTAAGTAACCAATACAATTTGAAAAGAATTTGAATTATAAGAAACTTGTGGTGGTGGTCAAGTCACTACCCCAAGATGATTATTATTTCTTAAACATCAAATTAGAATGGAAAAGAATTGGAATTACTTTCTTTTTTATTTTTTAAAATTTTACCCACCAATGAGAATGGTGAAAATTAAAACCTTTATTTTTGGGATATTGTATATTTATAGGAATGAAAATGATGTTACTTTGTGAAGTGTAAAGTAGATTGGTGCCATTAACCATAGTGTTGATATGTAACTGGACGACTACAACAAAATTTATAAAGTGATGTTAGGTTCTACCTAATTCATGTTAGTTTCCCTTTTGCAATAAATGAAAATCTTAGTAAGCATTCACTTTATACATATAAAAACACGTCATTCCAAATATGTGTAAACTAATTTTGAGAATTGTAAAAGTATTTAAAAGACGTTCATGTGTTTGAGAGTGTTTTTGGACTTCAATATAATTATAAACACTTTAATATAAAGTACTTCATGAAAATCGACTTGAAAATATTGATCTATTTGAGCCTTTAGACTTAGTGCCTACTCCAAATATTTTCTCACCAAGAACTTTAAGTTCGATGGAAAAGTTCTATTAGCCGAAAAAAGTACTTTTTAGTTATAAATTCAAAAAAGTAGTTAAATAAACCAAGTTATATCCTTGCTAATTGTAGAAAAATAAACCATCGTGCATATCGATTATGCTTTATATAATATTATGTTCATATCTTTCTTTGGGCGGTTTTAGAAAATGGTATTAAAAAAAGAAGAAAAAAAAGTGAATGAGAATTACAAGATCTATGAATTATTTACCACTTAAGTCCATTAAAATTTTCATTAATAAGTAGTTGTCTCTCTGTATACTCTCCCCCGTTATCTTCCTCTTTATATAGTATTGAGGTGGTAGGATTAGATAAGAGAGTGATTCATAGTATATAGATTAAGACAATTATTGTTATTGCTATAAGATATTTTGGATAAAATCAAAAGCAAAGTCGTGATGGTTATGTCGAAAGTGGATAATATCATACATTTGTGCCGCTCTTATAATTGAATTTTGTGTGAAGATTAGCTAAGAGTTAGGTTTCGTCACGTACCTTGATTACCTCTTTGTTAGATAGGTTCATTATGCAATTCAAAGGAGAATATCGAGATACGATGTGTTCAAATCTCTGCTCGGTCGAACCAACTAGTGGGTCGGTCTTTTAATTTTCGAACGACCACTTGATATCTAAGCTTGCTTTTCAATATTGGATTTATTCTTGGTCTTACTTTACTTCACTCTTAACAACCTCTTCCTATCCCTTTAATTTATTTCACTAATTAGCTATAAAATCAACACTATAATTAATTGGTTAACGCAATTTGCTTTGTTTTTTCTTTTCTTAGTTTTTTAAAGTTGAATTCTTAAAATAATATAATTAAGTTCTCTTTTCATTACTACTTTATTTTTAGTTTTTTATTTTTTAAAATTAAACTGGTAAACACTGCTTTGACTCACATATTTCTTTACTTTTCATATCCTTTTTGCAACTATTTAAAAAATTTTAAGCCAAAATTTGAAAATCCATAATTTTTAATTTTGAAATTTGGCTACAAGCTTAAATATATTTAAAAAAAAAGTGTAAAAATACTAAAAAAAAATGGTGACCAAGCATAATTTTCAAAAGAAAAAATAAAAGTAAAATGGCTATCTATTTCTTCCTACCCATTTCTTTTGATAATATGGTGTGTTAGGTTAAGTAATTTAAAAAATGAGATTATTATATTAAGGGAAAAATTTTAATTGGAGAGAGCGCACAACTTCTACGTCATTAATATGTATGTATGTATAAAATGGTTAAAATATTTATAATTTACCTTTGAAAAATAAAATTAATAAAAATATTTATAATCCGCATAATAGAATCAATTATATCAAAATATATATGATGTCTTGGTATTTAATTATAAAATATTAACTAGTATTTAAAGTTTAATTAAATAAACTAGTATTTAAAAATAAATTGAGCCATGTGTTAGGTTATGCAACCTCCCTCCCTATCAACAGCAAACAGCCAGTTTTTGACTTTAATCATATTTTCTTCACCCTTATATCATTCACATTATACCATCAAAAAATAATAATAATAATTAATTTTTATATATATACACATACATACACAAATGATCAACAAATAAATTACATTAAATTAAATTCGTCTAACAAAACTCTCAAAATCAAGCTACACCAGTGGAAAATACCAAAATCTAAAGCCACGAAATAAGCAAGGTCTAAATCCAACAATAAAGTATGACCAAAAAGAAAAAAAAAAGGTACCCACAAAAGGAGTTTTATTAAACTATAATAATATTCATGGATAGCTATAAATTTTTAAGAAAATAAATAATGAAGGTTAATTAATTAGGATATTAATTTGTTCAACGGGATGAAATTGATAGTTTTTAGTTAAAATTGACTTACTAAGTACAGGGTAAAAAAAAAGATATTTTTCTCAATTAACTTTTTTAATGGTACATCCACATAACTAATATTATAAAGCTAACGATTTTTCAAGTTATCTTTCGCTACTGTATCTAATAAAAAACTAAACGACGAAGATTATTGAAACTAATTTTTAAAATTTAATTCAATTTAAATCTTTACATCTTAAGATCTGACAAACAAAATAAATGAAGTTCGTACTGCAGAGCAAGCGAAGAAAACCTAAGGATGTGCTGGTCTAGTCGAGACTCGTCCATGCCCAATCTCATCTTGCCTGGTGACATCAAGTTATCTAAATGCCAAAGAGTTCTTCTTTAAGTTCGATTTGTCATGATCTGTTGGACACAACTTGAATTGAGCTTATTTAATTATGATTAGACTTCCCCAACTCAACCGGCCAATGTAGAATGTAATTCACTCTCGTCTTTTCCAATCTTTTTGTCCTCTACCTAAATTGTCCTATAGGTCTATTCCTAACATTGAACCTCCATTTGGAATGAAGAAATGGTTTTATTTGAAATGAAAAAGAAAATTTTCAACCACCTAAAACATATTTAGTTCATAGGTTAAGTTTGTATGACTTTAAGATTTTTTTCTTGTCCAACAATACGTGGGAGTGCATATTCCAACATTGACATTTTAATCGAAGATGTATATCATAACCAACGGTTCAGATTGATGTATGCATTTCTTGAAGTTAACAAAACCTAAGCCTATGTTTGTTATACTAAAGTTTGCTTATCTCAAAAGCTAGTTTGGTAAACTCAAGTAGTTACATAAATCTAGTTGCCAAACTCATGCCTTTTCTTTTAATTTTTTCCTTTTTTTAATTCATACCTATATGAAACACACATTAATTTTATCTTAATTTTTACAGAACTATAATTCTACCTACCAAATGTAGGGTTATACAAATGAGGTTTGTATGGTTTAATCCCTTCACATAGTCCAACATTTAAAAAGAGTTATAAACAATACCAACTTACTCTTATACTAAGTTTTATAAATTTAAATGTACTAAAATTAAGTGGATCCTAGAGTCTAAAGTTGAATTGAAACTCTAACCCTTCTCACTCGGTCGCTCATTCACTGCTGGGTAGAAGTTATAATTTCGAAGAATTCTCGTTCAATTGTAGAAAAATGAGAGAAAGAAGAGAAAAACAGAGAAAAAGTAATATAATCTAATTTAAAGCTAGCAAAATGGAAGAATATTTGCCTTTTGACAGCAATTTGACAGTTATTTATTGCTCTAAAAAAAGAAAAATCTCTCTTCTTTCATCTGTTTCTCTTGGTAAAAAAATTAAAAGATTCAGTGTTCTTTTCTAGTTTAAATTTTCTTACACTAGACTCTAAAGATAAAAAATAATTTATGAGAGGGAGAAAATAAAAATAATAAAATAATAAAAGAAGTGGTGAGTCAGCGACACGTAGTCCAGGAAAGCATGGTACCCGTTGGGTTGGGTTGGGTTGGGTTTGGTATTATATAAAGGGGCGATTTGGGAAGAAGTTGTTCTTCAAGGGTGTCCACTAAATCCGAATCCACAGTCGTTAATTAGAGAATTCCAGTTCCTGCCCTCTAATTTTTCTTATTTTTCTCCTTTGGAAAGTTTATTTTTGTTCCTTTCCCAGACATTGTTGGCTGTTTTTGCCCCTTCTTTTTTAGTATTTTCCCATTTCGATTCTCGTGAATCCATTTCCGAAAAACAAAAACAAGAGGAGAAAAAAACCAACCAACCAACCAACATGGTCGCCTTGGTTTCTCAAGACAACATGGTCGCTGCTTTGGTTTCTCGTACTGGAAGACATTTGCAGCGTTATGATATTAGGGGTCGCCGCCAAGTTGTTGGGTAATTTTTTTTTTCTCTCTGTTTCTGTTATTACCCCCATTTCTAAATCCATGGAGAAATTGGTCTTGTTCTTGCCGGAATATTAGAATTTTGAGGATTTCTGTTTGATTTTGGCTTGTTTCTTCAACTTCCCGTAAAACCCTTTTCGAATTTTGTTGGGATTTGATTTGAATTGGATGAAGTTTGCCCTTTGGATAAGACTTGGATGATTGATAAATGGCATCATTTTGGAGGGGGGCCCTAAGGCCTAACCCCATCATCTTATTTTGCAAATGGATTGGTTTGTGTTGTGCCATTAATCTTTTTTCTGATGGGTCCCCTTGGGAAATTCATGGGTCTTAATCTACTACATGTGGCTACCAATAAAAATCCAAACTTTTCTCCACGGAATTGGATATTTTTTTATTGGTTTGTGGGGGAGGAAAAATTCATTAAAGCAATTTTTGTTTAAATTTCTTGTGGTGAAATGTTTTTTACTTGAAGTTTTAATCTTTCTTTGTGAAATTTTGCAGATGCATCCCTTATAGATACAAGACTATTAAGGATAGTGCCTTGGAGAATATGGAGGAATTGGAAGTGCTTGTGATTAGCTCACAGAAAGGGAAAGGCATGCTGTTCCCAAAGGTAAATATTAGAAAGATTTTCAGATCTGTGTTTCAATGAAAATTGGCTGATTGTGTAAAAATTTTAAGTATTATCTAAAAATTTCAAATTACAGGGAGGTTGGGAAACTGATGAGTCCATTACCGAGGCTGCTTCAAGAGAAACCCTAGAGGAAGCTGGAGTTAGGGGAATTGTTCAGGTATCTCTCTCTCATATGTTGAGAAGGGCTGAGGTTTCTGTGGTTTTTGCTGGTTTTTTGTTACAATGATTTTGGATCTTGATTGATAATTATAACTAAGATTAGGAAGATTTAGAGTGAGTTTACACTAATCGGTAATGAACAATTTTGATTTAGAATATGAAGTCGAACGTGAGCGTTTGGAGGGTGAAAGTTTGCTTTTGATTTTGTTTTGTTGACTTATAGAGATTTCTAGATCTAACAATAATTGTTATGATGGTTACCAAGTTTTTATTTGGTTCTACCATGGAGAAAGTCAACTTTAAAATAGTTCTTTTGTCTTCCTGCCTTTCCCTTGGTTGTTTCTTGTTTCGGATGTCATGCTGTGATGATACGAATTATTAACTCGAAATCTGGTTTACAGGGTGAATTGGGAAGTTGGAGTTTCAAGAGCAAAACCTACGATACTTTATATGAAGGATACATGTTTCCCCTACTTGTCAAGGAGCAGCTCGAATTTTGGCCCGAAAAGAACTTTCGACAACGCGTTTGGGTACGATATTCCCAACAATTTCCTCCATTTAACATGTCACTAAGTTTTAGCCTCCCCCCATCATCATCTCCTCTGTCAAATTCCTTGTTAAAAACTCATCCTTGCTGGCTTTTCATAATCTAAAACTCCACGGTTCTAAATTTTACTTATAGATGAGCGCGCACGAAGCTCGGGAGGTCTGCCAGCATTGGTGGATGAAGGAGGCATTGGATGTATTGGTAGGACGGCTTTCGTCACCAAAGAAGCAACAGATCGAGGAAGTTATGCCGTGTTCGTTGAGCTAGCGAGAGGACGAGGATGGTGGAGGACATCTCTTTTGCCTTTACGGTTTTCGTGTAAATAAGAAATTGGTGAAGAAAGGCTACAGTTGCAGAACACAGGAGAGTACTGGAAAAGGGGAAGTTTTATTTAGAAGATTAAAATGAAGAAGAAGAAAAAAAAGGGGGAAGGGAAGAGATTTTCTAGTTGGAAGTCTGCATTTTCTGGATATTTGGTAGAATCATGCGGCTCAAAAAATACACCACAGAAAGTCTGATTGAAGAAACAGAAACTTTTTTTTTTTCCTACACAAAGATGAAGAACAGAGATTTGATTCTGATCAGAAACTTTGTTTTTTCTCTTTTTTTTGAGTTTCTGCTTTTTAGTTTCAATCAGACTTTCCCAAGTGTAATAGTTGTTCTTCTTGTCATCATCAATTTGAAAACTTCATCGATCTTTCTATCTTCTCTCTCTTAAATTTATAAAAAATTATAATTTTAGACAGTAAAAAAGCACTTCAAGGGAGAGCACTTTTCATTATAATTACTTTCTTAAAGTTTCATTTTAGATCGTAAGCAATGTTTTTTATCCCTAAACAGATTTATCCATTCAAAAATTTACCCTTTTTCATTTATTTCATTACTTCACCCTAAATTCTAATACAATTAACTAACCCAAATATTCAACTAAAAGATTCAGGCTCATTGTGGTGTCGGTAGGCAACATGTCATGTATTCTATGACTAACAATAAAAGCATTTTTTTTTTAAATTCCGCTATTAAAACTTCTAAAACTATTACATCAAATTTATAATTTATTTTTTTAGTACAATTAGGAGATCGACTTACAATCTCTTGGTTGAAGGTATATACAAATTACCATTAAACTAGGCTCAAATTTATAATTTATCCAAAGAAGTTACTTTATTATTTGCCTAATCTTTTTAAAGTAGCTTTAATCAATGTCTTGATGATGGAACATTTAATCACTAAAAGATTTAGGAGTGAATTACTGAATTAAAAAAAATAATGCGAGAGAGTTAAGAGTTAAGATAAAAAACGACTTTGAGATAAAAGTGTATATACGGAGAAATTAATAAATGAAATTATGTTTGAAAATAGAAATTGGTGAAAGAAAATACGTTCCGAAAATTCGTTGATCGAAAAGATCAAATAAAATTAGAACAGCAAGTTTTCTCTTCTCCACGTGAAGGCGGAGTATCTTCAGAGAAGTTAGTGCCAAAAGTGGGAGGGGTGGGGTGACCAACCGCCTGCTCCCCTCCTCTCCTTCTCTTGAAGGGGGTGCGTTTTCTCTTAATCTTCAGACTGAGTTTTTTCATATGGTGTTCCTTTCTATTTTGCTTGGGTTCTTTTATGGTTTTTTTTCAAGAAGTACAGAGCGTGGATCAAAATATAATAGGGAAACTCTCTTGCTGTTGTTAAAGAGATTTTCAAGGAGGATCCTTCCTCCCTACTTGTTTCTGCTATAACGGACAGTGACCGGGTGCTGGGATCTCTCCGTTGGATGTTTATAGTGTCATTGCAGCTAACAAAGTCAAAGGCAGCATTGTTATGTATGATCCATGACTTCATCATCTAGGTGTTTTGAAGAGTTATTAAGCAAAGAATTGGAGAAGGCACCTGCCTGCGATCTGTTGACATGACTCTCCATCTTCATTGCATCTTGGTTCGGAGAACTTCCATGGTACAGGGACAAGGAAGATGAAGCAGAAGGTAGGCGACGATGAAGGTGCAGCAATGATCGACTCGAACACCGTTTTGGAATTTGGGGAAGCTATTAGTCTTAATTTTATTAAGATCCAATATGCCCGAAGTGATTTGGGGAACTTGTCTAATCCTTCCTTACATGTCATGGTGGAGGCGATTATTTCCTTTCCAGTTGTGAATAGGGGAGCCATAATTGATAAGATACCTCAATTAATTGAGTATATTGTGACTTTGGAGAAAATGTTTAGTGTGTTAAAATTTGTTCATATCCCTAATTATTTGGATAAGCAAACTGTTTTATTGACCAAATGGGTTATTTTTTTATCGTTTCTCTTCCTTTGGAACTATTGTTTTTTTTCGTGGATTGTGATGGTGATGCGTGGTCACCACTCTTCATGTGATCCTCAATGGTCCTATTTCTTTTTAATGTAATATTTTTTTTTTCCAAGAGAAAGAAGGTTGGTAAATAAAGTATGTGCATCATAATAAGAAAATCGTATGTTCGGAGAATACCGAGTAAAAGAAAATGTTTGAGAGAGATTAAAGAACAAACATTTAAACCAAAAGTATTCAATAAAATATTAATCAATTTTCTTTTTAAATTGATTTTTCCAAAAGTATTTCCAAATTCTGGTCAAACCTAAACGTATTGATTGATTGAAAGCATCATAAATCATTAGTGTATGGTTGGTAGGGAAGTTTTTAGCAAATTAAAGAAAGAGAAAAATAATAATAAAAGAACAACTTTATCGACTAATACTTAACTGTTTATTTGTTGGCATCCATCTTCATACTGGTTGTCATTAAAAATTTGACAGCTCTTTATTTTTGAAAAAAAAAAGAAAAATCTTTTTTTCTTCCTTCCGAAATGACCTAGATGGTGAGCACCTTAATATTATTCACATAGAATATAAAAAATAGAGAGAGTGAAAGCAATATTGAGATTTAAAAAGGAAAAGGAAAAAAAAGTGTGTTGAGATTGAAATAGGAAAGAGGGGAGTGGCCCACTAACATGGAAGTTGGAGGCTAAATCATCACTCCAATAATGAATGGTTCTTAGGGATACTACTAGGGGCACCACACCCTCCAAACCCATGTGCCCCTTTTTTTCTTTCTTTTCACTTTAGTCAAAAAGAAGAAAAAAAATGACACTTTCAACATTGGCCATTCATATACCAATAATTTTATCCATATGCCACTTAAAAAGGAAAAAAAAAATCTCTTTTTCTGATTTATCAACTTCTCCCTACCAGGGTATACATTATTAAAACCTGGGAACATAATTGAATCGCATTTGAACTTAGCTCTTGTTAAGTCTACTTTAACATAGATGATCTTAGAGAGGATTATTGTTCTTCAATTGGTTAAGAATTGTTAAATGTCAGACATCTATTTTTACACGTTGCGAAAAAGTCACCACATTCAATGAATTGCATGCAAAGAGTCAATGAATTGGCTTTCCACGCCTACCACTCTTAAGCTCTTGGTGTTGTGCGATGTAAATACCTAAAGATCGTATAATAATCTTCCAATGAGGGAACGACATAGAGTTGCATGCTTCTTTTACTTATCTTTTTTAGTTACTATATATTAGACACTTAGTTTGACGGTCAAAGTTATTTAGGGGTCAGTACCAGACTAGTGTCCCTAACTCCGTACTAGCATTCTTTAGGCAAATGTTAGATACCATAATAATAGATCTTTCAGCTTATCCATATACATTTCTAATAGGTTCATTTTCTATGGTAGGAACTCATTTTCATATTAGATAAGTTTTCATAGGTCGGATCATGTGAAATAGGCAAAATAATAATGATGATGATGATAAATAAGAATATTATTATTTTAAATAATTAGCAATAAGGTTTGATTTTTTTGTCATATAATAAGATTCAATGATTTCATTTATATATGATTAGTGTAATACATATGAATTGATGTTTTAAGTTATCAAAACATTTCATCGATTTGGTTATTTACGTGTATTTTTTTTTACAGTGTGTGTAGATATTGAACTTTTTGATCTGGAAGAAAAGAGTAGATGCTTTAACAGCTATGTTAATTATATAAGTTATTAATGTTAAAAAATTCTTGAATAAAAAATTTGCTTACTTTTGTGTCACAAAAGAAATGCTTACTAGGAGGTTCTGAGTTTGATCTCCCGTTCCCACCTGTGCTAAAAAAAACTTTCAATATGCTATCTATTATGATTTCATGAAAAAAAAAATAAAAAACAGAACTATTCAAATTGGGCTTCCAAGCCCATGTATTATGGGCAAGCGTATTAGAACATTTTCTATGGGTTTCCTTGACCCAGGCCCAAATTTGGCAATGCTCACTCTGAGACTGAGAGGCAACAATTTACAATTCTACATAAAATTATAAATTTATTTTAAAGTTTTTATTCCAATATTGCATCCATTGATCTTCAAACGCACTAAAATCTTAAGTAGAGTGCTTTTAGATTGTAGTAAAATACAACCGTTTTAGGATCATTTAAATTAAAACTTCAAAACTTACTTTTCTCAAAAAAAAAAAAAAAGAAAAAAAAGAGAAAAAAGAAACTTCAAAAACTTAGAGAAGTTCATTTGAATCTTGTTGGTAGGAGAAATAAAGTCGACATGGAGAAAAGGAGGATATAAGAATCTAGTGCCTCCATAAAGCACTAGATTTTTACATTAAATTGATTTTCTTTTTTTTTAATACCAATAATTAACCTATATCAACTTCAATATAGGGTTAACGTATTAATTCTCACCTTTATATATTATACTAAAAAAATAACGTGGGGTTAAAGATTGATCTCGACTTTACTTCCTCTAAAGTTTTCTATTTTTCTTTTTTGACTATGCTTCCACTATATATGTTTTTTCTTTTTCTTTCTAAAATTTATGGTTGAAAAGTTTCTTTTTATTTCTCTAACAAAAACTTTTATTTACAATAAAATATTAAATACTTTTTAAAACTAATTATTTATACAAATACAAGTAAATAGTAATTTGTTAGTACAATAAATATATATTATATATATTTATTACTCTTTTTTATTTTTTAAATTTTAAAAATAATTAAAGTTGATTACTAAACCTGCAATGTAGGTACTTATCCCAAAACAAGGATTTCTCAACTTGGACCTCGATTTTTGAAATTGGAGAACCGGATGGAGATAGGGATTAAAAGTTTCTACAAGACTAGGATATATGGGAGAGGGCGTCTACAACTTCTCCCTATACCATTGTCATCTCCATTTTTATCTCTCTCTCTAACATTCTTTTCACTTTCTAACATTTAAAAAAATGAAAGCGTTATCAAACATGTTTTTGTTTTATGTTTTCTAAAAACTAAAAACAGAAAATAGTTATCAAACACTTTATAAGATCAGCCTTTCTTATTCTTTTCACCTCGAAATTGACTAAACATCTTGTTCGTATATATAGCTTGAACACGAAAGTATAAAACTATTTAGAAAGTTATAGATGTTTTCCATTGCAAAAGGGGACTTTGGAAACAAACAAATACTTGTAGATCACATATATTATTGTATTGTTGTATACATCACAGTGTTAGCATATGAAGAGAGAAGCTTTTTTAGAATAGAGACTTAGGACCGAGTTTGTAGCAAATTAATAGTGTATTTGGCATGACTTTTGGAAAAAAAAATGTTTTTCTAAATAAAACAAATTTTTTACAAGCACGTTAGAAAAAATTACTAGTTTAAAGTATGCTTAGTATAGTTTTCTAGGTTATTTTAAATAATTCAAAGTGCTTTCTAAAAAAATATAATATTTAATAAAAAAAAAGATTGCTTTGAAATCTATTTTCAAAGAAACACTGTGATTACTTTAAAAAATGAAGAAAAAAGCTTACCTTAGAAGGAAGTCGCTATGGGCTATGAGAGCCTAATTATATAGTTGTAATTCTGTCTTCACTTGATGAAGAGAAAAATAG